ACAACCTCAAATTATTAAATTTAACACATTTAAAGTTTATTAGAATGTTCTTATGTTACCGTATATATAATACCGTTACAATGAAATCTCCGGAGATAGAAAAGATTCTGAACGAATTTATAAATATTTTGGCTTAGCTGTGCTTATAGTAAGTATGTTCATTTTTTTTCCATGCATGAGATCATCATTAATGTTACTGGGAATCCAGTTTTTTATTGAACAGCCATAGTGGTAGTTTTCTCTCAGTTGTTTATTGCTTTTTATTTATCATCTAGTATTATAAAACCAGAAAAATGAATGCACATTTTTTGTACAAAAAGTCCTCAAATTAATTGCCACTATTTTAACTGCATATTCTGTGTACACATTTTTTTGCTTTCAAATGACTTGTTTTCGAATGAAAACGACTAAGTAATTTAACTTTTGAAGCTTATCCGCATGCTTTTGAAATAAGTTGACTTAGTGACAACACATTATTTGTGGACTGGAAACTTAGCAAATTAGAACAGACGATGCCAGTGGATAAAAAAGAGTGATGGGCTATTCATGCACTTAAATGATATATCAAAATTTATATATGTAGGTTCTTAACGAAAATGATTTCTGCGCACACATTTGTCAATAAGCATAATTGCATTTATTTATTATGATATTTCATGCCTCTTTAAATTGCATCTCAATTAAAAAGGTGCTTACTTTTTAATAACGAGACATTAAATTATGCACAAGGAGTACACACAGGTAACATAAAGTTTCTGTAATTAACGTGGAAACAACACCTATATGTAAGTGCAACTGTCTGCAATGATTACAGTTACATTCTCAGATGTGGAAAACTTTCCTAAACTGTTCTTACTCAAAACTAGCTTAAAACTATACTCGAGAATATCATATTATATTTTACCTGAAATAAAGGATCCAGTGACTACTTCCGAAAGATAAATGAAGAGCACAACACACATGAGAGCGTTCCGACAATTTAATGCCATTATCATTCGAGCACAACGCATTCTTAATCGTCCTCCATCTTCAAAAATGTTTTCGACAGAGCCACATAAAATCCAGTTGGTACATATTACACTAAACTTCAATTGAATATTGTGTTTGTTGGTTGGTCTAGCATGGAACCACAGTGTCTGGAGGAAGGTGATATTTCCCATCCATGGTCATGATGTCGACCAAATCCTGCAACTGAAGAATGCAGATCTAAATACATTCGTGCAATTTGCAAAAAATCATTTTTGAACCGGAAAACCCTGAGCATTTAAAATAAACATTAATGTTTAGAAAAATCCATCTAAGTTTGTTTTGTAACGGGAGCCGCCTCGATTAAAAATATGTTGATTTGGTCAAATTCTAGAGGCCATGGAGAAAAACCAAATAGTAGAAAATGTTTTGCATTTACTATTAATTCGATATTATTATTGTATTTTCAGCTAATATTATAGTTTCCTCTTTTTATTTATGGGTTGTTGTGAAAGTAGCTAAAGTTGAATTGATAACGTTTCCGAAATACATTTAATGCGCAAAATCCATCGATTCAAACGATAAATCTTTTAGGTTTCCTGAAATGCCGGTCTCTATATCAGTTCAAAGAAATCCGATGTTATATAGAAGCTATAAATATAAAAAGGCGTTAAGGTATTTAATCCCCTGAAATTTATGAATAGCTACAGAGAATAGATAGTGCGCGTCTCGCCCTAACCTGACAATATTGCCTTTCAAATGTAAGGTCATTCAAGGAAGTTCTACTTTACGTTTCTAAATGGATTAAACTTATTAAATAATTGACTTCTGAACGGCAATGCTTTCAAAAATAATTTGTTAATCAATAACAAAAGAATGAATTTAATTTACTAAGTGGTACGGGAAGCTAAGAAAAATATGTCTGTATCAAAACTGCAGAAACTGTACATTTTTGTCATTTGTCATTAAAATTCTGCAAAACTTTTTAAATTATCAATATGCATTGTGAAGCGAAATTCTAGTTTATAAAAATACACCCTTGTCACCCGTAAATAACCCAATATTTCAAAGTTTGAAAATTAAAATTCATGATAATGGCGATCCATATTCATATGATTTTTTGCTGATGGAAATGTTATTCAATGGATTTGTCTATCACAAACGTGCATAACCCATACAATTCAGCTATCACGATTGACAATTAATGTTTGTTTCATCTGAAAATAAATTGTCATAAAAAAGTACTCGCATGAAACAACACAAATTTGATGAGTTGACAGTGAGGTGGACCAAATCACATAAAATATCTAGATATTCAACTTCATATTCATGCTAAACATTGAAAGTTATTTTTAGTTCACAATTTCAAAACTAACCGAAAGATGGAAATTTATAAAGTCCAGTTGGTTAAACACAATTATAAATATTATTTAATAATTGCTCTAAGTTTTTGGTAAGGTAACAGAAACACAAAGACACGTAAATAAACCCAAGCGATAATTTTTCTTAGTTCATAGACAAGACAATACTGAATTTCTACTACATGACCCCCCCCCCCTRAGTTGAAAGCTGAATCCGCCCCTGATCTAATGACACATCAAGAAGACGAAAGTTGTAATGTTGCATCTTTTTAATAAACGTTTTAAATTTTGCAAGTGACGGGCTCATTTTAATTATTAAAAATATTTATTTCATCAAATGGTTAAATGCCAATACGTATAATTTTATTCAAGTCACTTCACTATTATCTAAAGTGCTTTAGCGGAAATAACATTTATTATTTGGATTTTTGTCAATTACAGAAGTGCCTAAATATTTGGATAACTAATAATTTCCTTCAAACATGGATTGTAGGTCTGAGGGTTTCAATATTTATCTTTAGTTGTATGGATGAATTTATATATATAAATATATTTAAAACTGGGTGTTATTTTTCTGAAGATCGAAAAGAGTCCTTTCAACAAAGCAGAAATTCGGAATTAAGGTAAGTAATAATAATTAAAATGGATAGTGGACGTTCATTCGTGAAGGATGTGGAACAGAAATCAAACTCAATTATCCAGCTTGCAGCTGCTTTAGTAACATCAAATAATAAAACATTTTGAGTTCGAATTATGGGATAACTTTGATGTATTTGCGGCACGCTGGATAAAATGAGGTAAATCATTTATAAGAATGACAAATGATAATCAAAGTTTGCACTTATTTAAACAGCATACTTTTGATAGATAGATATATACATTTTTCAACAAAAACACACTCACCGGCAGTAAAACTGAATAAGTATTAATCCAGAGCTTCGCGCTCAAAGTTCAAAGCACAGCTCACTATATCCGATCCGCAGAATTTCTCTTCCGAGAGAGAAGCTTAAAACTCTATAGAGTTCAATATCATCAATCCCATTTGTAAACTTCGCGGCGTTATCAACCACACTGAAGTTTCCTTTGGCGAATCGCTCTTCTAAACGATCCGAAGAACCATGCGCGCGTAAGCTCTTGCCGCATTTCAAATTCGCTTACGCCGGCAGCAAATATTTCAACTCCTTTCCCAAAAAGCTGTTTGCATACCATACCTTTCGAAGATGTTGTGATCCATTCCATGTGAACAGTAACATCGTACCGATGGCACACAGAAGAGGTTCTTCCAAAGACAACGCCAAACAACGTCGGGTTGCACAAGTGAAGATATTATCAGCAATGTATCTGTCAAATAATTTAGTTAATTAATGCAGCTGATGCACAATTATTTAAAATGAATCGATAAAATGGCATTTTATGAGACAGAGACGCATTTGCATCGGTTGTTTCAAGTTTCCTTCAGGCAATTGCATTCAGATTGTAGTAGGTGTAGGAAAATTGTAATATCGAGCATTTTAAAGAAATATTTAAATCATGAAATTTCGAGGACGGTTTCTTAAAAACTGATCTACTTCAGAAAGGAAAAAATTGGTGTCCTGCTGTCCTTTATCACGTTGGCATCTAAAGAAATGTTGATATAATCAAAGCTTGCTGACCTTCATGATTCTGTCATATTCCGAATGCATCGAGGACTCTTGATATTAAATTGATTAAATTGGGCAATGTACGTAACGAAGAAGAACTACTCCTTTACACGCCCAATCTGATGGTATGTTTGAACGTTTCAATTGCACAATGGAACAGCACCTATCCAAAATAGTAACAGATCATTAACGTAATTGGGATGTCTTTTACCCCTTCTGTTAGTGGGCCTGTAGTAGCTCCGCGCATGAAGCTACCGATTGCTCACCAGTCAAAGCTATTAGAAGAGACATAAAATCTTCCAGCTGATCTGATGTTTGGATCACTAGAAGAGGCCCTCGTACGAAGGAAACTTAAAAGAGCTGCTGAATTATAAAGACGAACGAGCAGAAGCAAATTGAATATTGCTAGCCATCGAGCAAAGGCAAGATACGACGTGTTGGCGAATTCAAACGGCCTCCAACAAGGTGACTCCGATTGGTCATACCACCCGACGCGGAAATATCGGAAAAGTCACCCCAGTGAACTTAAAATTGGTAAGGATCTTACACTGTTATAAACAAATGTAATGACGTAGCCTACCGTATTCAGCGAATCGCTTGACTGAAGATTAATTTTTGTTCACCTAGATAGGCCGTCGACTCAAGTAACTGCCAATAGCATCGTTCAAATCAGGAAACGGCATTTTTTGTGTAAGCTGATTTCTTGTAAATGCTTTTCAATACTAAGGCTTGCCCATATGTTAACGACTTTCCGATCATTTGCCCTATTTTATCGGTAAAGTGATATTTAAAAGCAAAATAATCCCACCAGTATGTTCATCTATAGTACATATCTTATCAATAAAATTCGTCTTAATAAGATAAATATGGCTATAAATGTCATAACAACCTATACATTGTTTGATTTTTGTAGGAGCGGAGATTAAGTAAAAACCATTAGAATAGAGCTGTGTATAAAATGAACTGGTTAGTAGTACTGATTGCGTCATCATCGATTTTTGTCGGTAAGTAATAATGGGCTGATCAGTTTTATTTCGGATAAGCTGCTATTCTCTGATCAAACAATTTTGAATGCGGACTAAAATGTTCTCAAATAACATTTGAGACAATCCATTGTTCGATCATATCAGCATGTGTTGTGTCCGTGTTACGCAAGTACAGCTAGTACAGCATTTAAAAAATTATTTCCAAGAACCAGATATTTAGGCTAGAGATTTAAGACATAAAGTATTTTTTCAATTCAGGAACAACTTCAGGAACTCTGCAGGCATGTTACAATTGCGTGGGTTCTGCTAATTCTACTTGTGGCACTGGTGATTTCAACTCTTCCGATTCCAACATCTTCGTGTCCGATTGCCTGCAGATTTACCACTACGCTAATACAACTGAGGCGGTTTGTGTCACGTTGTCTGGGCCCACGGCGATTCCAAAATACAGTAAGATATACTTTTTTCGTGTTGTTTCGCTAGCTTTTTCCTAGTTCTATCATGAATTTACAGTTTCTAAGTTTGATTGATAATGTTTCAGATGGCAGCGATATAACATATCGGCTGTGCTTACCTAAGCTCATAAATGACATTGAACTTTGCCAATACGTGACTGAAAATAAGACCTATACACAGTCACAATATGGCTTTAATGTGACCAATTGCAAAACATGTACAAGCGATTTTTGCAATGGATCACCTGCATATGTGGGGTCAGTAGCTGCCGTTATTTTAAGTGTTTTTGCTCTATTGCATGTAATTTATTAATATAATATAGAAATTTGAAAAATTAAAGCGTTTTAACACTTTCCTTAACATTTGAATGCATCAGAAAATTTTAGTCATAAAAATTGCCGTTATTTGAATCTGATGCTCACAGCACAAATCACGATTAATTTATGAATAGTACTATTTCATAAATAAAGGACCTCATATCGGTCTCATTCGAAAACAACAGAAAGGAAAAAATGGAGTGGTTTGAAGACCTACGTCAACATTGGTTGTAGCTAATAACGTCTCCACATTGTGTTCAACAGTTATATTTGCTTTTACAAAATTCGAAGAATTTATGCAGCAATCTTGCTCTTCTGTTGTATTATACAGTGGCGGTAATGGTCACATCATATGGAAAGTCTTGTGGTCAGACTTAACACCAAAATAGTGATTAATGTTTTGGCCAAAATAATAAAATATTCAAGGCTGTCAGGTCAAGCACGTGGAGGCTGTCCCAAGTTATTTTCAGTCCATGCACTACTGAGATTCCCGTAGAAATCTAAATAATTCATGAAAAAATGGTTTGCTATCAAAAATTCAATTTTTATAATACTGAACCAACAAAATCTCAGTTGAAGTTTGAAATAAAATTGTAAAAGGAGGTTTCATCTTTGAAACCCTCAAAAATGTTGGAAAATTTTTGAACCTTTGCCATAGTTACTAATTATATTAAATATAATATGTACCAAGCATTAACGACCAAATATATTTCAAATTCAAATAATTATGACTGAGCCTGTATAATAAATATGTATATAAATATACTTAATATAATTTCCCTTTCGTACGTTTATTCCTTAATATTTCCCATCTAAAATTTATCAATTGGGAACTTTTGAAGCGAAAGCAAAAATGTTAATCTACACTTGATTTAATTGCCCTCCTACACTATGTTAGTAGATGGTATTGAAAAATCCGAATCAATTATCTGGTTATGCGTATAGACTCCTTATTCATAGGCATATCTCGTATGCAATATTCTCAGCTACTTGAAGACTAGCTTAAGAAGAAACAGAATAGCAACATCAACACCTAAAGTTGATTTAACCACTGCTTTCAGTTGCAATTGTAAGGGTTCGGCATCATCTGAAGAGTATTATCGTTCCAGAATAAACCATATATGTAGTTGTGAAAGTCTATTAAATACATTCATTCGATATCGGAAATATTCAAAAGTTACAACGAGCTTTTCTGCGATACACGAATATATACGGATTAAACTATAAACCAGAAGATTCTGAAAGAAAAATTCGAAATCATGGAACAACTTTAAAAATCTACTTATGCCATCAATAACATATTTACCCTGCAAATTTCTTTAAAAATCTGAATTCGATTAGAAATAACAGTTGGCTTCTTGTTGTGGATGAGTCCGGAAACTAAAAAAAAATGTTTAATGAAGCCGCTAATATTTTCTGCTAATATTGGAATAAATCGCTGAATAATATATGCCTGAACAAACAGAACAGCTTTAAAAACTCATTAAAAAAGCAATTTTTCACATTATTTTCCCGTTTCTCACAAAACGATTCAGAAATTCCAATATCTCGGTGATTTGCTATGATTTATGATTTCTGAAATAGATTCCTGAGGAAAACTTTTTACTTTTAATGCCTCCGAAGATTTGGAGCTCACTTCATTGAAAATTAACTGGAAATTAAAAATTAAGTTTGAAAAGTAGGGGCTAACTTGACAAGCTCTAGTAACGACTAAAAGAACCTTAGTAGCGATTTTCATCTAAAGTATTTTAAAAGAGTTTAAGTACTTTTAACAATTGAACTATTTTAGTCCAAAACTAGACCTAAATATTGTGATATCTTTATCTAAAAGTCCCATCCAAATAAAATATTGTGGTATAAAATTTTCTGACGTTTACATATTTTCTGCTTTCGTGACTGAAAAACATCAAGCAGAAGAACGCGAACTAAGATAAATTACGATCTTAACTAAAAGAACGTTTCATTCGAAGAGTGTAATTAAACCGAATTAAACGGTAAATTAGATCAAGAACCTCCTTCAAATAGAGATTAAATAGCGCATTTACTTTTAAGCGTCCTATTTGTAATAGACTTTCTGAATCACGATGCTAGTAAAGTATGCTGATGTCTAAATATTATTATACCTACTAAAGTACTATCAGTCAAATATGAAAATTATCATATTTTCAGGGCTTGTAAAATGTCTGTGGGTCATAGAGTATCGAACTAGAGTTATCTCTCAACATTGATTGTATAAATTTATTTGCCCACTTAAAAATAACAGCAAATAACACGAACCAAAATGCTGTGAATATTACAAATAACATCGAAGTCGACAATGGAATTTCATGAAATATACTTAATCTCTTTAAAACGTTCAATCTTTAAGCCAATTATCTACATCTTATACATGATTGCCGGTACGTACTTGAGGGTTCCACGTTTCAATCTACTTGATCCCGTAATACGTTCGTACCTGTTGAGACTAGATTGATATGAACTGCCTCTAATATCTGCCTACTATAATATTCTTTAGAAAATTGTTGCAGACATACGGATACAAAACAAAAGTCTGTGCTTTTATAGCTGGCTTCATATTTAACCATTCTTTCGGTGTAAAGAGTAACACCAGTTTTCTTATCTGCAGGATGTTTCACTCTGCTCTTTTTGGCTCCAAGTTATATTTCGCATAGAGTATTTGAACATAATTTTTGCTTTTAACATTCAGCTCATCTAATTTGTCCTGTTGTGTTTTATCTATTAGTTCTTTGTGTTAAAAATTATATAGTGAAATTACAGTTTTATTACTTGTCAACTATCTTCCTTGTGAACGTTGTTATGGCAAAACGCTTTTTGGTTTGCATACTAAAAAGTGAGTATTGTTTCTATGCCGATCCATTTCTCGCTATTAAACGAAAACTTGTTCAAAAATTCGACGTAAAACGGAATTTGCGCAATACTTTTAAATTGTTTTTAAATACTGTGTTAGTGCGTTCCGTATAAATGAATCTCAAATAATGCTTAAAGGTTATTTACGAGTTACGGGCCACTTTCACTTCCTCTGAGGAATCAGGTTGCCAACCAAGGTAAACTTGATTCTATTGTTTTTCACTCATAGCAGTTCGTTAAATAAACTGCTTTAAATCGTAGCAAAAAAACCTGCATTTTTTGAAGGAAATATCATGCTCCCTATATGTATAGGCTTCAAGAAACCCTTGAAGGATTAAAATCAATTTACAATCACACTGTACAACAGCAACTCTAACAAAACCATTTTAACATTGATTTCTAATTCGGCACGTATCTTATCAACCAGAAACGGATCTCTAAGATAATTATAGCTATAAATGTCAAAACAATGTATATCTACGTCGATATTTGCTCCAACGGTGATTTAATGAAAACGATCTAAATAAATTAGTGCGGAAAATGAATTGGGTCTTAGTATTTGTTGCGTCATCTTCGCTTTTCTTCGGTAAGTGTAGGGCATTGTTTTCGCTTTTTTGCGGCTGGTCAAAACTGCCCAAATTATTGCATTTATTTTGCGGAGCTTAGATAAATGAGCCGTTTCCATTCACTTATAGAGCTTACTACTCAAGCAAATATTTATAGATGCAAGGTTTTTATTAAACATTTTCTTAAAATATTATTTTCATTATATATTAAAGTTTTAAACATTGATATAAGTTGTTGGATAGGGAATTTGTGGTTAGAACGGATTCCTATATTATCCCCAAATAAAGCAAATCAAACAGCATATTGAACAAATATTTAACCATATACTCCACCTTAAGCTAAGTGAAACAAGATAATATAGGAACAAAATATTATGTGTAAAACTTAGATATCAATACCACTCAACAAATCGCGGAGTTACTTCTAAAAAATAATTTTGGTAACTTCACTGGCCATCATCATGTACAAGCTTCATCAGGAATGAACTTTTCGGAGTATTTCTAGCGAATCGCCTGACATTCTTCATGGATTTCCCGCCCTCGCCTGCGTCAAAATAACGAAATCTGGCAGCGTTTAGGTAACACTATTTTATCCACAGAACTTTGGTAAAGCATCCAGAATCTGAAATACCTTCTCAGATATAGAACACACTGTATTGCGACCCAAAAATATCAAAATTCATATCCTCCGCAAGACTTTGTGATTGTAAACTATGGGTGGAACTAAATTAAATGTGAATTCAATTGTGAATTCAAGTTGATTAAATTGAGGTGATCATACAAGCAAACAAGGAACTATTTTATATGTCGTGGCTTATACGAACTAGTAGCGAAAATGCGCCAACACGGAATATTTAATTAAAAATCGACCGTTTTGATTTGGATTCAGCCAATTTCCTTGTAAAGCTTCCCAGATAATTTTTTCAATAGTTCTTGTTCTTTGCTTTTCGTAGAACTAGAAAAGCATTTTTAGAGTAGAGAAGAGAGTTTTTGACTGTTCCGATGCTTAGATACTCATTAAATATTCTGTGATTCAGTTATATTTCATTATTGCACAAGCCTTTCCCGTGACCAGTCTAGTTTAAGAAATGTCGTATGGTATAAATATCAATATTTACAGGAGAATTCGCAATTATTAAGTTTATATTTATTGCATTTAGGAAGCAGTTTAGCTGATCTTAAGGCATGTTATGGATGCAGTGGAGGCAACAATTCTGCATGTGCTTCCAATACATTCAACACATCAAGCGAAGAAATTTATATTTCCGATTGCCTGAAAGTTTATCACTTGTACAATACAACAGAAGCAGTTTGTTTGAAGGTGGTAGGGTGGTCGGACGACGGTAAGGAAACGTTTTTACTATTTTCAACACCAACTTACACTCATTTCTGTAAATTTTTGCACGCTAGCTGTTGATGAATGAATCCATTTTTTTAATTTTTTAGATTCAAATATAGTCCAAAGATCTTGCGCCCCTAAAACCGTTGGTGACACTGAAGTTTGTGAATATTTGACTAAAAATAATACTTATACCCAGCTCTACGGCATCAACGGGACAACAACATGCAACACGTGCACATCC